CCGAGGCGCTGTCGCGCTTCTCATCCTTATCAGTGTGTTCCTTATCGTGCTCCTCGTCACTCTGCAGTTTTCGATGCTTGCGCTTGTGCACATGCTCCATTTCTTTCATGAAGTCGTCAATGTTCTGCATGCGCTGTTGTAACTTGGGGCTAGTGGCCGTTTCTTCCTCGTCGCCCTCGTAGTCGGTGTTGCCCTCTGCATCCGAATCGAGCTCTGACATGGCAAATAGATCAGGCGGCGGCCCTGGTGGCACACCAAGCCAATCCTTATCATCGTCTTCCTTTGATTTATCCGACTGTAAGTCGGCAGCAATTTCGCTGTTCTTGGCAACACCCGGTGGTGCGCCAGGGGCAAAAGGCGGCAAAGCTAGCGTCATAGGCGGCGGTGGCATACGAATACCGCCTGATCCACCTGGAAAGATGATGTTGCTGCTATTATTGCCACTGTTGGCTGTACTCGTGCCGCTTGCACCAGCATTAGCTGCTGTGACCGGCGCTGGCAGTGGGATCTCATCGATCTGTACGCTCTGGGCATGTTTGACGCTCTCGTAGTATTGTTGCTTTTTCAGACGCTTCTTCTCGTAATCCACCTCCTTACGCTTTAGTTCCGCCCAGTGCTCGGGCTCATCGTTATGCTAGCAAAGGACAGAAAACGAATTAAGATCTGGCTGGGATTTATGTACGTTTATATATATATATATACACCTACATAGAGTCGCATAACTCGATCAAAGGTTTCCTTAAGCTTTTTGCGTTTATCGCGCAGCACCTTTTCATTAAGTGGCGACGGCTGCAGCACATTATACTCTGCAGGGTGATAAAAGATGCACAGTATCTTCAGTGTCGGTGGGTTGGTTATAAAGAACATTAGATTTGATGCTACTTACCCATCTCGTCTATCTTTTCCATCTCTTCAAGTATCTGCGAGGGATCCTTGTTCTTGAGCACGGCAGCTCGCACCATTTGGCGCTGTCGTTTGTTCTTCTTCAGCTCCTTTTTCCGAGCCTCTTTGCCTGTGTATGGATGGGTGAGTAAAGATTCGCGTGTGTGCATTCTACAGCCGGGTGCTACTTACGCGCTTGGTCTGTTGGATTCATGTATTTGCCACTTTTAGTGGTGTTTATGGAGCGTCGCCCCATCCTAATTTGTTGATTTGATAAACTAGTTTAAAAAAATTCTACTACGGGCCGTCTTCACTCCGGCTTTTTGGCTACTAAAGTACTAGTGCTGCACAACGCACAAAACATTGAAGTTCGTTTTCGATTCCCATGCAATCGATTATATCGATAACATGAAATTATTATGGGTACAAAAACAAAACTCACGAGCACAACAAAAACAATCTGGCAGCACGGAAACGTCGTGTATTAAATGATGCCGGCATATCCACAAAGAGGCACCATAAAACAAAACAAAAATGTCCGACAAGATGTCGCATGACAATAGTCTCGCAAACGTATTTGAAATTCTCAACATAGACAGCGATTCAGAGATTTCTGACAATAAAAATGGCACGATCGTGGTTAGTATTGAACAAGCAAGCACAATGTTGAGTGTGTCGGTTGATAAACAGCTATTCAAACTACACGCAGCCCCCAGTGCCAAACGCCACTCACGATCTCACGTGCAGAAGGCCCCAAACGACAGGTGATATGGACAACAGTGACGACACGGATATGGATTCGGACGTGATTGTCGTTGTGGATTCATCAAATGCCTCGTCAGACGTAAGCTGCTTCAGCGCATCAAATTTGAGCACTTCACAATCAGTATTAGAGCCAGAGCTCTGGGATTGCCTGTCAGATACAGACACCATACCAGAAACCGAAAGCGATAGCAACACCAATGGCAGCAGTAAGTTGTCCCGTAGTCACAACTATAACAATCTCTCTCGTAGTCTCAACCATAACAATATCAGCCTAAGCACAATATCGATCACATCTGACGACGCATGCACCATGGATAGTCGTATAAGTACTCCAATCAAGCGCAAGCAAGACTGCTACCCACCCAACAGCAAGTTGTCCAAATGTAAGTGTCTCAGTTATTAAGTTGAAAAATCGGTGAATTAAATAATATTATAAATTTACACAGCTTGCAATGGCCGAATTAATCTGGGACTGGAAGTGAATGCCTCGCCGGTGTTGAGCTCTAATGTGATCACCACGCGCAGCGGCCGAACTGTACGCGCACGCATCGACAACAAGTTTGATTATTCGTCGGAGCCGCAGGATGTTGATTCAGATGATTCCGATGATCCTGATTTTGGTGATAACGAGTTTGAAAACGATGACGAAGACAACTGCCATGATAGCAGTGAGCCTACGCGCAAACAGCGACGAATTTCCATGCGCAACAGCTGCTGTAGCAGCGACGCTAGCTCCATGCTCGAATCGGATGCATTTATCTATCTGGATTTAAAGCAGCCGGTGGCAATTGTCAAGAATGAGCCCACAGCTGATGCTGCTATAGAGTTCGATAGTGAGCTGAAGACGCGTCTGCAAAAGTTGTTGGGTCTGGTTGCACCGCAGCGCCGCCTTTACAATCCCATGTCTAATTTTGAGCTCGAGGATAATCATATGGATGAAGATGATCCGCCGCCTACGTTGCGCAGTCGTTTATGGACAGCTAAGAGCAGCGTTCAGCCTTTAAATGTGCCTATGATCACAGAACCCCCGCTGCCAAGCCCGGTGGCATCTCGTATCAAAGCGCTTGGATCCGAAATAACAAATGATATGAAAATGCTGCTTATTGACGACATGGTGCAGCGCGCCAATGCAAACTATTTTGAGAGTCAAACTCCCCAACATATCAAGGAACCCATCGATCTGAGCGGCTTACCCAGCGAGGAGCAACGTGCTCTCAATTGTCAACAGCACAAGAAGATCCCCAGCATTATGGGGCCCTATACGGGCGTATATAGCTTCGTGGATTCGCTTCGGTGTGAGTTAATTGAGAAATTTCTTAGTCTAAGAACGAAGTTTGACAAGGTGCAAATTGTCTAAACGAGAGTGGCCGACTAACAGATACCCCTTAAACATAATCAAAAAATCTATGTAAACTGTGCAATTTAGGCAGACTGTACTTCATTTCGATAGAAAATTTGCGATAGAAAATATATTTGTATAAGTTCTACTTATGTTAATTATTTAAGTTTGTTGCATTATTTCCATGTTCCATTTACACTTGGCAATTGACATCTAGATTAATGATGATCAAATATCAGATTAAAAAGTCTTCCCGAGACGCCCACTCCTGCATCCAAAAATCACAAAAATCTGTATATTCTAGTCACAGTTTCAAAAGCCACTGCTTCGGAACTACATTCTGAGATTAGCTAAAACATTATTTGACTGTTTTCGACGGTTTAAGCTCGCTTGTATAAGAACAGTGTATAAAAAGCAAATCAGTTGCATATATATGGCAATTAGAACCATTAATAAAACGATACATATGAAAAGTATTTGAGGATCGCATAGAAAGGCGGTTATAACGACTATAACATGTATAAAAACTGGAAATTCTGAATTTAATAGGCTGCATCTCTCTTCTACAGACTGATACCCTTCTATAAGATAAGGTTTTTTAAAGATACAATCATCAAAGTAAAATTATTCTTTTAAAAAAACTAAGCTTTTTAATTACTATACACTTTGTTGATTGTATTTATTTGAATTAGACATAGCTGGAAAAAATATGTTAGTATAATTAACATTTAGAATCGCTATCCTCATGCTCATGCTCGTATCCAAAATGTTAGATTTTTATCTTAAATGGAAATTGAAGGGATTGAAAGAGTAAGAGGTAATGTCGTATCTTTGCTATTTAGACAGGAAATTTCATCTTTTATATGTACATATTCATAAAATACATATATATATTACATAAGTATTAAATGATGTCATGAAAATGGCATAGAAGGGCGATTCACACATAAGGAGTAAGTTGTTTAAAGTGCTTATGAGTTTCACGAAATGCTGCATTTTAAAAGCCAGTTTTCAGTGCAGAACTTCAACCACGACTGTCAGAAAACTTAAAATAAATTTGTAAATATTGTTATTAATGCTCGATAATACCTATTGCCTTAACAATGGCTACAAGTGTATATTTCTTGCAGCAACAACGCCCTTAAATATGTGTCATCCACTTGCTGTGAACTTTCGCAAGCGGGAGTTTGGAGCGTGCAAGGTGCAGCTGGCCAAGACCCTATTCAACATACTCAATCACACAGTCTTCCATTGTGGCCTTCGCCCGAGCATTGTCTGGAGGAGCTGCATGAACACGCCCAGTAGCATCGAACATCGGATTGAGGCTGGTGGCCAGCGCCTTTCGCGCATTGTATTGTGGCAGAACATAAAACAGCCTGGAATGATGGTTAAAGTCCTGCTGCACGAGATGTGTCACGCGGCTGCCTTTGTTTACCACGGTGAGACGGGACATGGCGACAACTGTCGCAAATGGTGAGTGAACAACAGATTTCTCAGATTTACACATTAATATATATGTATTTGATTTTATCACAGGGCTTATCGCGCCAAATCAACGCTGCCTGAGCTGCCAGAGATTGGCGATTGCAATGCTAGCTACAAGTACACTTGCCTCCTGTGCCGTGGCCGCTCGTTTGGTCGGATTAAGTTTGAGGATGAGGCGGAACAGCTGCGTTGCCACTATTGCCAGTTTGAGGTTAATGTGGAGGCCTGCAGCGCCGAAAATGTCCACAACCTATCTCTCACCGACCAGTTGGTGACACCCTATAAAGAGTTCGTGCGCGCAAACTATGGGAAGTGCGAGCAGAGCGGGCACAGCGCCAAAATGCAAGCACTCAACGTGCTATACAAGGAGCACCAGCAGCAGGCGGCTTCCAATTGATGCTGAAACACAAAGCTTTAAATTTTTTGTTTAATTTTTTTTCTTTATATATATAAATAGGTTTAAATAAACATGTTTCCTTCACTTCTCGTAGCAAACAAAAAATTTATTTTCGTTATAATTTGAACACTATTTATTGCAACAACTTTGTTGACAAGGCTTTGAATTTTCTTCTAACAAATTACAAATGCTTTATATATAGTGGAACGTTTTAGGCCAGTTAGTTTAGTATACCACATAAATAAGTTAGGTGAGAGGTGAAATGCCGCAATCAAGACATCATGCCCTTGCTGCGCTTAAAGGCGGCGCCCGCCTTGCGGTTGTGATTGGCGCGAGTTGATTTATTTGCTTCTTTCTGGCCGCGATTGCGGTTCGTTTGCTGCGTTTGACCTTGACCCTTGGGTGCGCCCACTACGTCAGTCTGGGTGCGCTGGCCGTACTTGGCCATTTGGCGCTGTTGATAGCGTGCACGTATTGCCTCAGGATTTTCACAGAAGTCGGTGCTTTTTTTGTTGTTTGTTGCCCCATTGTGCTCACCATCGCTGCTGGCGTCATCCTCATCATCCTCATCGTCTTCGAAGGCATCTTGCGCTTCGTAAGCGCTACTAGCTGCTGTCGCCGAGGCTTGTTGCAGCTTGGCGCGCAGCAAACTCTGCGGCGGCGCTTGTCCCTCATTTAATGCCTCGTAGCTGTCATCGTACTCGTCGTCGTACTCGGCTCCGGCCTCATGAGGTGTTTCCTCAACTAATGCATATTGCTGATAGCGCTGCTTTAATTTGCCAATGTCGCGCTTGTCGTCCAGAAGCTGCTCGGCATTGCGCGGGGCACCAGGCAAGCCCTTGCCTTGCTTTATAATGCACTGTGGATTATCATGGGTAAGCACATCGTACTTGTCGCCGTCGTGTACATTGTAATGACGAACACCGGTTTGCCGCTGCAATTTGTCCTGGGGATCGGCTGGTATGTATACCTCCTGCCGATCCATGTGCACTAGATCGGGCGGCAGATTGTCATCTAGTATTGCGGCAATCGCCTGCTCGCTGTTCTCGTAACGTGTCAGCACCCGACGAATGAATCCCATGCCCAAATCCGGCAATACGTCCAGCACGGCGGACACTTCTAGATCAATGTCACGGGCACAACCATTTACTACTGCTGCAGCCGTTGGCAGCGGCGAAACACATGAATCTTCCACCTCATCGTCCTCTTCGTAATCAGAGTTCAGACATCCGGCCAGATGCTCATCGGCAAGGATACCATTGGTGCAGGCACTTAGTGCCTTCTGGTAGCCAGTTATTACAAAATCTACTTTGTAGTTCTTGCTGTGTGTGGAATATGAAAAGTTGATGTGCATCAGTAATTCATTTATGTGCACTCACATGTTGGGACAGCGGTCCAGCAGTAATTCAATGTCGTTCTCGATCGGATACTGCCGCTGATAGTCGACAACAAAGGTCTGTGCTGAGAGACATTCCTGCAGCAGTTCAATCATCTGCTGGCCACGTCCAGACTGCAGCTGCGCAGATGTTATACGCCGAACAACGTTCAGGAACTGTTGACGTGCCTCATTCAGCCAGCGCAAGGAGCTTGCCTGTGCATTGTTCAGATAAATATTTCTATACAGCATTGGGACGGTAAGATCATAGAAATTGGCAATGCTGTCGAGAAATGGAAACAGAGAAGAATTATACAACCCAACAAATTCTCTCTATTTCTCTCGCTCATACCTTTGTACAAGTTTCAGCTGCTCACAGGCTGCGAGCAGTGTGGGGCATAGCTGGATGAGCATGCGCAGCGTATAGGCGCAGTCTAAGGCAAATAATACAACATCATCATAGGGCGTATCGGCATCGGGATCCAAGAGTGTGCCACCACCGGCGCCTTCGCAGCCCTCGTTCTCCACCTGAATCTGCATGCTAAGGAAGGCATTCTCATAGAAAGCCAATCCTTCCTCCAGATCCTTTAAATAGTCCGGCTGGATGCGCAACACTGTCTCAAAAATCTGTTGCAGCATCTTCAAATTCTGCTCATCAGCATCGCCCACTGCAATAACCAGATCAAACAGCAACGGCACGGACATCAGATAGTTTTCATACAATAAGGAACTGTGCTGCTGCGGCGTTATCCATTCTGTAGCTGATTCCTTTGAAGTAAGCAGGCGCATAACAATACGCACCGCCCGATTCAGCAGTTGAGCATAAAGTGACTTTGCATTGAACAGTGCCACCTCATTTCCTTCCGGCGTACTGCTGTCCGTTTCCGTTCTGTAGTAGGGATTGGCACGTTGCAGAAATGTAACAACCGCGGCCATTGCTGATTCCTCGTACACCATATACGACCAGAATCTACAACGAATGCAATTAGAGAAATATGTTTGGGTTTGTCCGTCTGGAATCAGCCCTTACTCGTGATGACTCAGCTGCAGCAGAAACTCGAAATCTTGCAGGCAGCTAGCGGCAATATGTTGCCACTCTTCCAATGCGGCGCCAGACTTGATGCGGCCATAGGAGCTTAGCATGCAGATGTAAGTGCCAAAGGCCTTGTCACGTGTCAGCCAATGCACATCCTGCAATAGATCATCGGTGATTTGTAACCGTTAAATCAGTTGAAACCCTTAATTTAAATGCTTCTTACAAGCGCAGGAACTTGCCGTCTGACGCCATCGGTATCAGTTAGCGTTAACTTCAAGCGGTCCAACGGCAGCTTATCCGGATTGCAGTTATTATTACTGACGTCCAGGTTCTGGCAGATCATCACTGCGAAAGCTGTAACAAAAACAACACAAATGTGCACAAATTGAGTGACACTAATACAAGACAGGGCTGTTGAATTAATATATCGATTAATATATTTTATTTGATAATATAATTGCGAATATCGATACTTGTGCGCTAATTATTATTATATAGTGGTAAAATAGTTGCCGCTATTTTGAATGCTCGTATATTTTATTTCGTGAGCAGTACTTTTGCTGAAGAAGCCCTGATATGAGGTAGAGAGATATATTTTTTGCCCAGGTGCTTCCTTCCATTCCAAGTTATAGCAGAGAGTTATGTAGTTGTTTCGCGCTCTTTTAATCAGAGCCTACACACTAATCATATTGTCGTTGGTTGTAGACTCAGCCTTAATTCTTCTCTTTTAAATATTAAAATAGTCCGTATTATGAGTCTGATACGAGTAATTATAGATTATTCTTAAACGAAAATTCCAAGTCAGAATATTTGATGACTATCGAAATGGTAGCTTATTTTGTTAATAATTATCGACATTCCAATACAAAGCACAATTGAAAAGTTGTCTTGTTGTTCTCAATGTGTTGTGATAATCGCTATCGGCGCCATTTCGATAATATCAACTTATTTTGTGATTTTTTTCAATTTTATTTTTGATTAGGTTTTAAATGTGATTATTTGTTTGAGTTGTTACATTTTTTGATTGTTTACAGATCGTTTTTTAATTTGTTCATTAATGAATAATAACAACAGGTAATTAATATCAATTTTTTGATAATGTGATCAAACGCAACTTAACCAAATATTTCTGTATTTTGTATTCCCCTTTTTCGCATTACATATTGCGCAGCTTGGAGAAACAAAGAGTCAGTGGCGCTGGTCGTGGCAATTTGGATAGAGCTTTGCGCTCATTTTTCCATGGTAATAATGGCCTTAATCAGTTTTTTGAACAGTCGCCTGTGACCCAGGGCGCAGCGAAGTTGTGCGGCAATGCTGCATTATCAGCGCTAGTAGATGGGACCGGAAATGGGAATGGAAATGAACAAATCACAAAACATGTTTGTGATGATGTTGAATTCACCTATTTGACGCCGTCATCTAAGAAGGCGGCTCTCGATTTCGTGGCTGCCATAATTAAAAACGAAGATTTGAATGTCTTCCGCTTTTTGGTGATCTGTGAGCAAGCGGATGAGGCAGCCGATTGGATGCAAGAGCTAGGCAGGCGTAGCGTTGGCTGCCTCTTGTTAAACGAACCCAAAAAGTTGATTGACTTTTGCGTCAGCTTGTGGACCGACGGCGTAAGTAGACAGTTTCATATTTCGGACAGCTTCCATTTATCTCCCCTTCTTTACAGACACTTAACTCGGTACTGATTGTATGCGATCTTGTGTTGGAGCTGCTTGTGCAGTGTAGATCTTTGAGAGTCAACTACTTGATACACTCGACACAGCCATTGCCGCATGTGTTTCAAAAGCGTCTCGATGCCTTGATACCGATACCACGCAAGGGCATACAAGTGCTGGTCCTAAGATGCCTGGCAGCGAACCAGTTTCAATATATAGCTGCAGAAAAAGTGGCTCCCAGAGCCACAACATCGAACGGCCAGGCAAGCATAAGTCTATCGGAGCTGATAGCAACAGCAACATTAGCACCATCAGCAGAAAAACTCAGCTCAATGCTAAATAAAGAGTGTTCAGTCGAAGATATGTTGCCTGGCTCGGATGCAATAACCCAAACCATGTCAAGCCCCACGCCCTCTGACACATCAACATCTTCAGATGCTTTCGATCCGGCTATAGAACATAAACCCAAGTCGCTCACCGTGCAGCCCAGTGAAGATCAGTTCGATACGGCCACCGGCTGTGTGCACGCATATAACAACTTCGGCATCTTTGCCTGGAGTCGCTCGGAACAAATTTCCTGCTTTAACATAAGTGAAGTGGCCGCAATTGGACCGACTATCAAGGCAGCCATGCAAGTGCTTAACATTGGCCATGCCCGCGCCAAAAGTGTGCAGCGCTACGCCTGGACGCACGTAGCTGCTGGTCGCTCCATGTGCGCGATCGGCAATGAGTCAATTGGCAAAACATGGTGTTATTTGCCCACGCTGTGTCAGCGCAATATTCACGAGTCGAAATACCGTAAATTCGACGGCACCGACTATGGCCCCAGCAGCATAATCCTATGCGCAAATGCTCAGCAAGGCGAACAAATTGGTAAATGGTGCGTGGGCCTGCTGGGCATGCAGCGCGAGGATATGGAGCACGTGATCAAGCTATTCAAGCGTACCACTGCTTTCGAGGTCGCCCAACGTATGACACGTCCCTGCGGCATTTTAATTACAACTGTGGAGCAGCTAGGGCACATATATCAATTCCATACCAAGTCAAAGCCCATCTTTAATCCGTTTGTCTTACGCTGTGTCGCCGTGGATGGCATCGATGTCATATGGCGTAACAGCCGAATCCATTGCGAGAAAGTTACACAATGGCTATTAAATATTCTGCGCTTTGAGGAAGGCCACGCGCAGCTGTTCGTCGTTGGGCGTTTGTGGATCGAACAGTTTATGGGTCGCGTGTTACCAAAATTGCCTGATGTGTTGCTCATGTTCGAGGATGCGCTAGAAGCATCCATATTTAACGGCCTAAAACTGGAACTGCTGACAACAAAATCCGATCAACATGTGCAGGATATACTGGCGTTGCTGCAGAACATAAAACTAGATGAGCAGCGCGTGGTTCTAGCATGCCAAGCAAAACCTGAAGCATCGAAGCTAAGCAAACAACTCTCAAACGCGAACATCAGTAATATAATAATAGACAAACAAGATCGATGTGCAGAGATCGCATATGCCGAATGGTCCAAAAAACGTCAGGCCAGCGTTTTAATTACCATTGACGATGTGGTTCCCAAATTGCGGGGCGGGAGTATTGACTGTTTAATCCACTGCGACTATAGCAACTGGCCGCGTTTTAAGGCACGCTTCAGTCTATTCTATGGTAATTACAAAACAACAAAAAACTCCAATACAGCCACATCCATAATGCATGTTGGTCTTGGTGATGTTGAGCAAACTTGGCTTATCTGCGATTTTATGCTTAAGCACAATCGTTCTCCGCCCGAATCTTACATGTCTATGCTGACTGAATATCGCAGAAAATGTGAACTTTTTCAACCGCGTTCTAATATACCGCTGTGCCGCCATCTGATGTCCTATGGCAACTGCTATCGTCACACGTGCCAATATCGGCACATCTTGTGGGACTTTGAGACGGTGCCACCGGATCACCATCCAAAAAAAGGGAATATAGAATTCCATGTTCTTGCAGTAAGTGCATAATATCCTTTCATATTTCACACATCTAAAATATTGTATTTTTTTTCAGAGCGTAACGCCAGCCCAAACTGCTGCCAAGCTAACGGAGGACAAGATTTTCAAATACTTTTTTAACATGCCCGTTACCAAGCTGGGTGAAAGCATTCAATTGCATTATGAGAATCCGCTTAATCAAAAAGCGCATTTGAATCCGAAGGTTGGGGATATATGCGTGTTAAAGCTTAATAAACTATATCAACGGGTGGGAATAACACGCGTGAATACTGGAGGTCGCTTTGATGTCAGACAGCTGGATGCTGGCATTGAATTTTTATTGATACACAAATCGGAACTGCTCGCGTGCGATGCGAAGTTTAAAGACGAATCATTTGAGGCCTACGACCTGCGCATCACTGGTCTAGCACCCTTCAATATGGAGCGCATTTGGCCAGAGGATGCCAAAAGACTGGTACGCCACAAATTCTTCAATCGAAATTTGGGAAAGCCATGTCGCACGTTTACTGCTAAGGTCGATTTTGCTTTTCATGAAATAATTTTCGTGGAAAATGTGTACGACGATGCCGGCAATGACCTGAAAAGCTTTGTGCTCAAAAATATTCCCGTTCTCATGGATAAAGATGTAAAGACGCGCCTGCAAGAAGTTATTTCCAGGGCCAAACCGTTTCCTAATGAAAATCTCGCAAATCCCACAAGTCCATAAGAATTTTAATGTTGTGCAAGTATATCAAATTATTTTCTCATATATGCATTTTTCCAAAGACTAGCCCACATATGCATGTTGCCATTTCAAAACTTGTTTGTTTTTTTTTATAAATACAACGGCATATTGGGCGCAAATTTTTAAATTGTAAAACTTGAATATTTATTTCCATGTTTGTGATTATACATTTTTAAAGCGTACGATGCTTGAGATCAAACCAAACAGAGTTATAATTAAAATAAACAATCTTCAAAAAACACTTGTTATAGTTTTTCTTTTCGCTATTTCTTTCAAAGCAATCAGATATCTTTAAGGCCGCCGTCAGAAAAAAAAAATATGATTTGGTTCTTTTCAAGACGATAAAAGTGGAACGATAATGCACCAATTTATAAAAAAAAGTCAATTGCATGCATAAAGTACCAGTGTTGGTACATTTGTACCACATGTGGCAGCCGCCTAAGCTTTTAGGTATGTATATACATATATCCGTTAATTCCCCTGCGCATTTTAATTTTAAATGTAAATGAACCGTTGTAATAGCCGAACAAAGCCCAAAATCACTAATATCGATATAAATTGTATATCGGTTAGTTGGCCACCAACTATTGAAATGCATGCGTGTCAAAGAACCGTTGTAATATTATGTATTTGTGTGTGTGTATCATGTAAAAGTTAAGTTCATAAATATATGTGAGTTTGTACGCTATTCTATTAGAATTAAACTGTTAACATGCGGTTTTCTGATGAGGTAAGAGACCATTCTAATTGTCGCTCGAATTCGAATTCAAATTTGTGCCCTTGCAGGCCAAGTGCCACATTTGCAAGCGAATCTTTTGCTGCGGCAAATGCCGCCAAAAACACCAGTTCGAAACACACGCCATTGCTATAACCCAACCAATGGCTCAGCACACGGAAATGGTTGCGTTTGGCACTGAGATTGAAGTGAAAACCACAACCATCTATGTGTTCTGTCCTATCTGTGAGCAAAAACCGTTGACGCTGCGCGAGGAGATGTATGCGGAGCTGCTGGCCCACATCGAGAGCGTGCACCTGCCACTGCGCTGTCGCAAGTGTTTGCGCCACTATACGAAGATCGACGATTTAAAAGAGTTCAGCAAATGCGTTGATTTGGGCCAGAACTGCAGTTCCGCTAGCTCGGCCCAGAACATAAGCTGCGACACAGACGCTTCAAAAGTAACGGTTAAAAAGGCAATGGTGGCTGCCAATACAATATCGACGCAAACATCACCCAACATAGCCAAAGACATGAACGAAACACAGCATCACCTAAACCTTACGCCTATATCGCTGTTCAATCTACGCTGGAAAGCCAAGAGTCGTCTGCAACAGGATGAGTTCATCAGCGACAGCGTCTCTTCAATACGAAATCTGTCCTCAGACAGTGTAAATTTGTTGGAGCAACAGCGTCGCAGCATTGGACAAGTGTCTGCACCGCCGGATAACGCACGCAAGGATAAGGGCAAAGTTATACGATCCACATCGACGCCATTGCAGGTTTATACCGTGTTCGCTAAGCCGAAGGATACACTTACTTTCAATGCATCGGCCGTTGGGGGCGGTCACATATCCAGCATTCATCACAGTGGCTGCGTGCTGGACGAACAAAACACGGCGCCTCCTTCTGCGCCAGATAACAGTCATGTACTGCCGCCGCACCAACAGCGCACCTGGAAGGTTGGTGGTCGCGGCAAGATGAGTGCTGTGACGCCCCTGCGTCAGGTTATGTCCAAGAGCATACAAAAGGCATTCGTTGAGCATGGCGTGGGCATTCTGGCCACCCAAGGCGACCAGCGACGCATGCGCCTTGATTTGAGCGAGAACAGCTCCCCAAATGCCGGCCTACCATTGGATCTGCGTATGTCACCAGTCCTTCGGCGAACGCAGAGCGAAGACAGCAAGGAAACCGAAAATAGACGCGGTTCGATTGCTCCTGCAGAACCCTACCAGATACTGCTGTCCGCTCAGAAGCTCACTAGAGAATCCATTATCATAACACGTACTCAGCACTCCGGTAACAGCAGCTCGTTGCCCGCATCTTCGTCTAGCTCCAGCACCACCAGCACCGTTTATAATTCATGCGAGAGCGTGGAAATAATCACCTCATCCTCATCGACTGCCGAACTGAGCGCCAATGTAAAGCAAGCGAATGTCAATTGCATCGTGAATGTGCCACCAATAACGCCCATTACCCGCATACCGGGCGCCATAATCAACAAGAAGCTTATCAAATTTGAGACACCGCAAAAACAGGATATTCAAACAACACAAGCGATTGAGTCCACGCCGGACGACAAGGATATCTTTTATACGCCTAATCCGAGCAATAGTCCATCAGCTGCCCACGGCAGCCCAAATGCCGACCCCAGCAACAGTGCGCGACGGAGGCAGCAGATTGTGCCGCGCCAGCTGAGCGGCCAATTCTCGCCGCAGGCGAAGAAGCCACAGCTGCCGCGACCTCAGGGACCACGGACGCGTCCTCCGTTGCGTGTGTGTCACAATCAAAAGTCCTTTAGCTGCGTGCAGGATATCGGCAGCGACGATGAGGACGAGGTGTTTCTGCCGAACAGTGCATCCACGCATAACGACAAGAAGCGCCCAACTGTGGGCACCAAGTCGGAGACAGGACGACTTTGGTCACTGATGTCATCTGTCATGCGCTTTCCAATGAGATCGTTGAGAACTGATCGCTATTCCACCAGCGCCGACAAAGAGAACGCTCCTACAACTTCCGGTTCCCTAATCAGACGCTGTGCCTCCATTGCTGGTTCATTGGTTCGTAACATTCATGCTCATGATGGGGATGATATGCAGAGCTTGAAACGCAAACGAACCCAAACGCTGGACAATGCGTACTGTAATCCATTGTCACCGACCAACTCCTCGAAGCGTTTGCGCATACAACCAAGGAAACCCATCGACCGCATGCGCAAGAATTAGTTGTATTTTTCTTTTTAAATATTTAAGTTGTGTCAATTTTGTTTCCCATTAATAAATAATTATGTACGAGAATTCTCGGGGATTTCAGAAACTTTTTAAAAGTCGATATTGGCTTAAATGGAAAACAGTTTGGTATCGATTAATTTCGATTACAGTAACTATGCGATAAATTTCTTTGGTATTTGGTTTTCCTACATTTAGTAGGCATAAAATCATCTCTAGTATACTCCGATTTTACTGCGTTGAATCAGTATTTATAGTTTTTCCCAAACGGTCACACCAAAACCAACTCGTTGCTTGTATCTGGTAGTGTGTGTGTGCGTGTGTTTTTCATCTTCTCATCGTTGTCTTTTATCAAGCTGTCGCAGAAAATATTAATTAAGAAATAGAAAACCAATAAGCACAAATTTGTGATGTCGTTATCAAGTCTTCTGCCCACACCGACCAATACGGTATGGGATCGCGAGGACGAGCGTCGCCTGTCTGCCAAGGGTGCTCCAATGATTGGTGCACTAGTCTCCGCCAAAATAGCAGCGCCACCTTACGGCCAGCGCAAGGACTGGATACCACGCACAGAGGCAGACTTTGGGGACGGCGGCGCCTTTCCCGAAATACACGTAGCGCAGTATCCGCTGGGTAAGACAGGCAATAGCGAATTTGTTTGTATTGATACATATACATATTTTCGTTTAGGTCTTGGGGCACCTGCTAATGTGGGTAAAAAACCAGATGCGCTTGCCGTGCGATTGGATGACAAGGGCAAAGTCAAATATGATGCCATTGCCCGTCAAGGGCACGGAAAAGACAAAATTGTATACTCCTCGATATCGCAGCTGCTGCCCGCTGAGGTTTTGGCTGAAAATGCGGACGAGCTGCTGCGTCCCGACGAAGAAACCGTTGCCGAGACAACAGAAGAAACACGTCTGGCTCTAGAAAAGCTGACCAACCAAAAGATTACCTCAGCTCTTCCAGTGCGCCATGCTCAAAAGGCAGCGCCTGCCCAGTACATTCGTTATACACCATCGCAACAGGGCGATGCTTTCAATTCTGGCGCCAAACAGCGTGTCATTCGCATGGTGGAGGCACAGCTGGATCCCATGGAGCCGCCAAAGTTTCGCATAAACAAGAAGATACCACGTGGTCCGCCATCGCCACCAGCACCAGTGCTACATTCGCCCTCGCGCAAGGTTACCGTTAAGGAGCAGAAAGAATGGAAAATACCGCCCTGCATATCCAATTGGAAGAACGCCAAAGGTTCGACCCACCACCTATATAATTCATTATTTTACTAAGTTAATACGATCTGTTTCATTTCATAGGTTACACCATACCACTGGATAAGCGCTTGGCTGCCGACGGTCGTGGCCTGCAGCAGGTTCACATCAACGAGAAGTTTGCCAAAATGGCTGAAGCTCTTTACATAGCCGATCGTAAAGCGCGTGAGGCCGTCGAGGCGCGTGCTCAATTGGAGAAGAAGCTGGCACAGAAAGAGAAGGAGAAGAAGGAGGATATGCTGCGCATGATGGCGCAACGTGCACGCGAGGAACGTGCGGGCATACGCAATCCAGAGCCAGATGCACCCGGTGGTTCTGGCGGTGCGGATGCACGCGAACGCAATGATCTCCGCGCTGAACGTCAACGGGAACGGCAACGCGATCGGAATTTGCAACGAGCCGCGCCAGAGAAACGCACCAAACTGCAGCGCGAACGGGAGCGTGACATATCGGAGCAGATTGCATTGGGCTTGCCAGCCAAGAGCGCTGGCAATGGCGAAACCCTGTTCGATCAGCGCCTGTTCAATACCACAAAGGGCATGGACTCAGGCTATGGTGACGATGAGGCCTATAACGTTTATGACAAGCCATGGCGCGATTCTAACACAATGGGCGCTCACATCTATCGACCCAGCAAGCAGGCAGACAGCGACAACTATGGTGGAGACTTGGAGGCCATTGTAAATACAAAACGCTTTGTGCCCGATAAACAGTTTTCGGGTGCTGGGTCGCGTGAAACAGCTGCCGCTCAACGAAGCGGACCAGTTGAGTTTGAGAAGGAGGAAGATCCCTTCGGTCTTGACAAGTTCTTGAACATGGCCAAGAAGGCACCCAAGCGTGCTGACGAAAAGATCGAGCGCGGAAGCCACTCCGACCGCAAGCGTAGCCGACGCGATTAGAATGTCAGACTCGAAGAATTAGCTTCTCTTTTTAAACAATCCCAAAAGTAATGCAAATACATACATACATACATATTATAAATGTAAACAACAGACATTCATATAGTTCTTTTATTCACTGCCAAATATTCTTAGGAATTGGCGCTTATGGTATTAATCACCCAAGGCATATAGTATTCGACTCTGGTAAAGAGCATTGGTTGTCCATGATTGTTACAACTGACTGTTCCGATTGAAACAATACCGGCCAAATAGTATCTGCTGTTTTCAGAGCCAATCGGGTCCTGCATCATAAGCGGTCCGCCGGAGTCGCCATGACAGGTACCTGATGGAGTGCTGCCACCGGCGCACATCTGACCGGACATCACGTGGGGATGGATTTGCCTGCAGCTAGCCATGGACAAAACGTTAAGCTCTGCCCTCATTTTAACCGGACTGCCTCCGGAGCGTATTCGCTCTGTATTGCCCCAACCGGCAATGTCCATCGCCCAGTCGGCATAGGTGTATTCATCATTAAAATTAGCCACCGGCAGGCAAATCGGCAGCACAAACTCTGAAAAGCTCACTGTACGATTAAGGCGCAGCAATGCAATGTCGTTGGCATAATTGGGATCCAGCGGTCCAACATACTGCTTGTGCACTATGATGCGGTCAACATTGACGTCTATGTGCTGTGGAGCACATATTCTTTCGTTCTTAAACTGTTGACAGTCGGGTGCGCTGGTCGTGTTCCACTCACCCAGGCGCGCCTTTAAGAACAGTTGACTACCATCCCGGCTGAACGCACAGTGTCCCGCTGTCAATATCCAGCGCTCATGGATAAGTGAGCCACCACATATTTGCCTGTATTCCTCGCCTGGAAAATAGTATGTACACTGTGCATTGGCAACAGGGGCGTTTAAAGCAAGTAAACTTACCGTCGTTGGTGGCGAACAGCAAAGCCATCCACGGGAAATCCGTTATGTGAGTGTCTGTGCCAGCTACAATCCGATTTGCTATGTCAATCCCAATGCCACCACAAACGCCCGGCTGTGGTAGCAATGGCTTTAAGGTAAGGGCAGCATACGCTGTCGGCATGCGTCGACAGCATACCAGATCGCTCCGCATCTGACTTTGACAGTGGCTACGACTTGAACTGTTGAAGTTAACGTCTGTTTCCCAACACAATTGACGGGGCTGGCAATATCCAATCTCGTCGTACACGTTACAACGGCCATAATGTCGTAAGGGCCCTGTGAATGTGGAGTTAAAAAAATAAGCAAAAAAACCTCAAATATAATGACGAAATCCAACGTACTGCTTCCAGCATATACCAATGCCAATATGGCGCAGAATATGGCCAAGCCACGGACTTTCAATTTAAACATGTTGATGATGCTCGATGTTCAACAATAAGTACATAATTGAAAAACAAAAGCATCTTATCAGTTTGAGGGCACAGTTTCGGCGGAGATGGGTCAATGCTATAGATCATGATTGCTCTCTCATATTTGCATATGCGTTATGGTATGTGTATCTAGAAAATCCGGATTTTTTACCCTATCTGCCCATCCCTTTCTTATAGGCATAACCAAAAGCCGCCACGACAAACTCACTCAAGCCCTGCAAATACGGCCGGATATAATAAGAAAACAATCAGTTCCAATTAAATATGTATAGCATATGCTTAGATAAGTCAGTTAAAATTCGCCGCCAATAAATTTAAAATTCATATTTGTGAACATCGAGAAAGAGACACAGTGCTGCTAATTAAAATGATTACGGCTACATCGATATACGTTATCGATTTCAATGTTATCGGTTTTGGCGATACATCGATACTCGGCATGACATTGAGTTGACATTTCGGAGTATAATTTTAGCATTTCTAAAGTTTTAGTTCTTAATTTTTGCAATTCAACAGTCGACAAGTGTTTTTAACTAGCCTGTAGCAGACGCGTCAACTGTCTAAGCGACCGCAAACCCTGATAATGCGACAGTTTCTGAGCCTTGACAACGATAAACGCAGCTTTTAAGTGCAGCCAGCTGCTGTTGTGTGGGTGGGTTCTGGGTGGTGGGCTGGTGGCCGTGGGGGAGGGCCCCAAGACATTGACAACAATTACATACGCTTAGTAACATCCCGCCGCATACACGACAACAAACGCTCTTTGAGATAATTATGTAAGTGTATGCTAGACAAAATATGAAAAGGCAATAGCTACATTATTTCGCTTACCAACCTAACTGCAGTGGAACGCGCAAAGAAGAAGATCAACTGAAATGCGTTCGCGTAGCAATTCGGGCGTGCGCCTCGACTACTATCAGCGCATTGTGCATCGCTTAATATTGGCACATCAGGAGCCAGTGACCGGCCTGTTTCCCGCTTCGAATGTCAACTCGCATGCCTGGATACGGGACAATGTCTATTGCATTCTGGCTGTGTGGGGCTTGTCCATGGCCTACAAGAAGATTGCCGATCAGGATGAGGATCGGGCCAAGTGCTACGAGCTGGAGCAAAGCTGTGTCAAGCTGATGCGCGGTCTGCTCATGGCAATGATGAATCAAAAGGATAAGGTCGAGAGGTTCAAAATGACCCAGAGTCCCTACGATTCGCTGCATGCCAAATACTCCAGCAAGACCGGGCTGCCTGTTGTCGGTGACAATGAATGGGGCCATTTGCAAATTGATGCGGTCTCCTTGTACCTGCTTATTCTGGCCCAAATGACCGCCTCCGGTCTGCAGATCGTCTTTTCATTAGACGAGGTTTCGTTCCTACAAAATCTGGTATTCTATATTGAGTCTGCCTACTCCATACCTGACTATGGCATCTGGGAGCGCGGCGACAAGACCAATCATGGTAAGTACCGTCACATTTTGCCGCGAGTGGACACTTTCAATGTTTTTTTTATTGTTGCCCACAGGTGAGCCCGAGCTGAATGCCAGCTCCATCGGTATGGCTAAGGCTGCTCTAGAGGCCATGAATGAGCTAGATTTATTTGGCGCACGCGGTGGACCTGCCAGCGTTATTCATGTCCTGGCTGATGAGGCGCACAAGTGTCAAGCTGTGCTGCAGTCGATGCTGCCCCGCGAGTCCAACAGCAAAGAGCTGGATTCGGGCCTGCTGTGCGTTATTGGCTTCCCGGCGTTTGCCGTTGATGATGCCCAACTAATATACAATACGAGGGAGGCAATTCTGTCGCGACTGCAGGGAAAGTATGGCTGCAAACGTTTTTTGCGCGATGGCTATCGCACACCCAAGGAGGACCCCTCGCGTCTCTATTACGAACGCTGGGAGTTGCGCATGTTCGAGAATATTGAATGCGAGTGGCCGCTCTTCTATTGTTATCTGATACTGTTCCATGCATTTCAAAATGATAAGCACATGGTGCAGGAATATGCGGATAAATTGGAAAAGATAATGGTGCGCTCCGAGGATGGCACACTGCTGATACCCGAAAGCTATGCAGTGCCGCAAGAGTTGGTCGGCTTTGAATACCAAAAGCCCGGTTCGCAAGTGCGTGAAGTTGTTGGCCGCTGCCCCTTCTTGTGGGGTCAGTCGCTCTTTATTTTGGGTCGCCTGCTACAAGAGGTGAGAAATAACCTCACTTATATCTATTCCAAGATGCTATATCTCGTTATATAATTCAGGGCTTTTTGGCTGTGGGCGAGCTGGATCCGTTGAATCGCCGCCTAGGCGCCCAGAAAAAACCAGATGTTGTCGTCCAGGTGGTCATCATAGCCGAGGATAATGAAATACGCGATAAGCTGGCCGAGCACGATCTTCATGTGCAAACGATTGCCGAGGTCGCACCCATTGAGGTGCAACCGGCACGTGTGCTCAGCCATTTGTACACGTACTTGGGACGCAATCGGAAGCTGGGATTGAGTGGACGTAAATCGCGCGACGTTGGTATTCTGAGTACTAGCAAGCTCTACTCTCTCAAGGATCGCATCTTTGCCTTTACGCCGCAGGTAAATAGCACGGATCGAATTGGAACAAAAGCCCCTGCCCGCACGCTGTACCGCTCTGTCTGTACACACTGAAGCTCTTTATCTCTAGCTCTCTATCTCTCTCTCTCTATTTCTAACTTCTTCTAGTTATTATTTATTTTTCTGATTTGAATTGATTTGAAATATTTTTATTTTCTTATTTATTTTTTGTTTACTTACGTTCTTATCATATGTTATTATTATTTATATTATTACTATATTATGCATTAGTTTGTCGACTTGTCGCGCTTCTATATCGCCTCCGATAACGAACTCATGATTGACATCCTAAAAGGCGAGATCAATTTTCTCAAGTCCGCTTGGGATCTGCTGGGGCGTCCCTTAGTTACGCTGGTGTTGAAGCGCATCCACTTAGGTCGGTCCACCCAAACTCAGTGTTAATTTTTATATACATACATATATAATTTTCTAAGCATACACATGTGTATTTATTCTAGTAATTATCTGTATATTTGTTATTTACATTTTCCCCCATATGTGTGTGTGTATGGTTATAGTTACTTTTCTTAATATTTCTGTTCTGATTATGTTATTTCTAATTTGCAAGGGTTGCGTTTTTTTTTATTATTTTCCTCGTTAAGTTGTAGATTTTTATATATATACATATATACATAACATAAACCAACACACGTACAAACACTCTCACACACACACAAAGACACACTCACACACACACAATATGCACACGTATTGATTTTAGTTTAGTTTAGCATTAGCTGAGTTGGTTTTATAGTTTATAGTTTGCATTTAGTTAACAACTTAGTTTCCGTTGCAATTGCAAACGTTTGCTTTGGTTGTGGACATTTAAACACAAATACACGCACACACACACGAACACGCACTCTTACACACACGTGTACATCCACAGCCAAAGCTGTATTGTATTATAGAGTATATATGTACTTGCCTACATACATATGTATATATGTGTATGAATTCCTACCTATGTATGTATTTAGCTGTCTAGTTTACTTGATTCTGCGACAACCCACCTCTACACGCTCCCATTTATCTATTAATTTCTCTATGCTGTGCACTGATCCCCACCCAAAGAAACGAAAGAGATCCGATGCCCTATAACAATTGGCCAAATTGCAAAAGAAAAAAAAAACAAAACAAAACAAAAAAATTCTTTCTCTGTTCTCTTTTTGTATAATTCGTGCTTAACCAACAACAACAACAACAACAACTACTACAACAAATCCAACACACACAGCATATCGACTATGAAGAATACTACACGACACGCGATCCCGATCTGCTCGCAAGCAATTTTACCACAAACTTAGGCTTCCTGACCAACAATTGGCGTCACATGTTGGGCAGACCGACAATCACATTAATGGCAACGCATTATATGCTAGGTAACTACATACCAACTACACCCCTCCCCCCTCCACCCAACACATCACAAATACAACGAATGAGCTGCATATATATGCATATATATATATATATACATATACATACATACATATATAAAAACACAACAACAAGTGATATGATCTATTGTATGCTATAAAAGGATTAATCTTGCGATTCCATAATGACAATGATATGTGTTTGATTGTATGTGTTTGATTTTCAATGCGCTTTTGCTTCTTGTTACAATTCTCCTCTCTATTTTCTTTCTAATACCCCATACACCCCTTATGTATACAGCATCCAAGCGCAAATTAATTATTCTAGCACGCATATGTTGTCTGTGCCCCTATGATATTTGCCTAACGGGTTTACTCTTTGTGCACAGCTCTTGAACAAATTGAGGTTATGTGAATATATATGTAGATTGCTGGAGCAAATGAAAAACAATTCTAAATTGGCGAGCTTCCGACTTTCAATCAACACAATTAAATTGACTTTAGCCCTTAAATGCCTGAAAACTAATTGCCCAACTTATTGGCTATCGTTGTATTAGTCCGGATAGAAAAACCATAATTTGACTTTTTTTTCATAGTTAATAAAAATATTTTTCTTCTCAGCAAAGATTCCAAGAATTTCCGATCGAAATATCGCTACACATTTTGTTTTCTTAAAAAACAAAAGTTTTTTTTAGCTAAGAGCTTAGGTTCTAGAAATCTTATTTGGAATCGTTAGGGATAATTGCAGGAAATTGAACAATCTGAACAAGCATATCTATGGATTTAGTAAAGATGATATCTCCATCTAATTGACCATACTTTATAAAAATATTCAAGATTACTGGCATCAAAAACAGCTATAACATATGTGAAGTAGTGTTATTGGGTGTTTATCTCTTGAATAATATTGATTCATTTTATAGTATGAGAACAAGCCAAATGTTATATACATAGTCGTAATTGGATTAGAATAGCTCAATATTCATAAACATTTTAGGATGAGTAATTACATGCTACTAGCTTTAAAACTGATCAGCAGGATTTTGTGAAACCAATCCATTTGCAACGTGTTCATCGAAATCTCTAAAGATTTTGTTGGTTCAAGACTTGAGTCTAATGCTCCTTCATTCAATTCTAA